TCTAGGAGCTCGAATTGAGCCCTTAAATAGACAAGTTCGTCCTCAGGAATTCCTTTTGAAAGAGCCTGCATTGGTATTTAAAAGGCATGAAAGAAATGTCAGAGTCGACCACCCCGTTATAAACATGTTCTGCAATGACATAGACAACTTATCTCTTCTTTCCATATGGAAAGACTACGACTGAAAAGTTCATGCATGTATAACTAACTACCTTCAATGCTGCACGTCTGAAAGGTGTGGCCCGAACATATGACTTGACTGTCTTGAATATAAAGATATCCAAAGGCACCTCTTGAGCTTCACTTCTTATCCATGGATGAGCTGCAAAATAGAGACAATTAAACCATTCCGTTAAACTAGGGAGCAGCATTCATCTTCTATTCAGCATTTGGATACTGAGTAGTGAACATTGCTGTGTTATCATAAATAACAAATACTGCTTACAAAGAGCCTGAGCTGCTGTCATTCTTTTTCTGTGGTCCTTGTTCAGAAGTCTTTTTACAAAATCTTTAGCTTCTGCTGATACTGAGGGCCAGGGTGAGTCATTGAAGTTAGGATCAGCTCTCAACACAGACCGAAAGATCCCTGATTCAGTCCTAGCCCAGAAAGGTCTACTCCCACACAGTAATATGTAAGTTATCACACCAACACTCCACATATCAGCCTCAACGCTGTATGATCGATGGAGCACTTCTGGTGCCACATAGTATGCACTTCCAACAATATCATTGAGGCGTTGTTCTGCAAACAAGACAATGTCCAAAGTTGTGCATTGCTTCAGAATAACAGTTCAAGGCAATGAATGTGAATGAACTCCAAGAGAAGATGATCTGGTTGTCAACAGTATAAAAGAAAACAACAAAGAGGTCTTTCAACTGAATTGATGACGACATGACGTATTTGCTAGAAGACGGATACTATCCTGGATTTTACACAAAATAGTCTCATTGATTGAGTGAAATCGAGAGCAAAAGAGAACGAATTTCACTACCGCTAGACCAAAATTGAAAACCAATGCACGGTGAAACCTAGAAGCCAATTTAACTTATTAAACAACGAGAATCAAAGACACTTTGTAAGTCTCCAAAATCAGTAGCATAGTCATCAATCATGACAGATTCAATCACAATTGTCAACCTCACTTATCACTGAACAACTAAAATTTAACTTGAGGAACTTGGACATATCTACTTTTGACTCTATACTTCAACTTTGACTGCCTAAGTTCACTAGTATGGAAATGATCTACAACGCCCTTACCTTAAACCTAACACTTAGAAGGTGCAAACAGATATGAAAAGGTGCAAATACTTAACACATGTTTGTTTCAATGAACTGAAATTCCAATCCTGATACCAGTGTTGCTCGACATGAAAATCCCAATTGATGATTACAGTAATTTGCAGTATAACAACTGTTACCTGGCCTAACGTAGTCAGATAGACCAAAATCAATAATCTTCATTGGAGCATCCTCATCTTTAGTGGTGAACAGAAAATTCTGCAAAAGGTGAGTATTCAGTTAGAGGTTGAGAATAAAAAATAGAAGAGACATGGTAGAAGATCTTCAAGACACTTTCATAAACTAATTTGTTGTTCAATTAGGCTACAAAATGGAAAGCAAAAAAACATTCCATACATGTCAGTATAGCTGCACACAGTACAGTCATATTGTTATACCTCAGGCTTTAGATCACGGTGTACAACACCTTGAAGATGGCAATAGGAAACTACACCTAAAATTTGAACAACGATGGCTTTTGCATCCTCCTCAGTGTACCTTCCACCCCTACAATACAAACATAACCCAATAAGTCAATTACCTCTAAATAAAGGATCAAACTGACACTTTCATCATAAAACCATTCCAACTAACATGGATAAATTTTAAATACATTTAAGACTTTTTTCTCATTCAGAAAGAAGGACTAGGAATTGCTCTATTACCTCGATAAAATTCTGTCAAGAAGTTCTCCACCTTCACACAATCTGACAGCAAACACGTTTAGATTACTTTAGAAACATTTTAAATTACACAAGGTAAGCATGCCAACTAATCTCATTTCTCATATAGTCTTCCAGGCTGACCAACGTATTAGCAACATTCAGACTTTTTTCTTTAACCCACAATGAAAGATATGATAAAAGACAGATAGCCAGTTTATGTAAAAGAGTGAATAAATGTACATACTCCATAACAATGTAGACGTTGTTGCCATCCTCAAATGCATCATGAAATCTTATCATGTGCTTATGCCCACATAATGACTTCAATATTTTTACCTCCCGGCGAACATCTTCAATGGCAATTGCTGTCGTCATCTGCCATTCAGAACTAGTTAGTGATAGAAAATGTTTATGAAACCCAATGTGCACACTTAACAAAACTAAGCAACCATCAATCAGGAGCATCAGCAAGGCCAAGCTGATAGAGCCAAAGCTAAATCGTTATTATAAGTAAATATGATATTCAATGATAATATGAATACAAATATTTGTCATCCCTTCCAGTTGATAACATGTCCATTATCTTTCCATCTTCTTTCTAAATTGCCAAGTTCATCTTTTCCCCTTCCAACTAAAAGAACAAACTCTCAAGGTGAACAATACATAATTCCTTGGGAGTTTATAAAACCCTTTACTCATACATACAAGCAATGTCTCAGAGATAAGAACAATCCAAGATTTTCTCACTCGCCCTTCTTATGTCAACTGTTTTGTTCTGATCTACATGTATGATGTTAGACCAGAGCACCACATTCCTAATAGTGATGACAGCATCCACCGCCATAATTTGACAACACAGAAAAAAATTGATCAACAGAAACTAAAATGACTTGTTCCATCCAGACATGTATAGCTGTCTTCCTTGACCAAAACTCAAAAGGTGATAGGTACAGCTTACCATCTTATCCTACATATTTCTTTCCAAAACCTCGGATCCGTCAGTATTTCTTAACACATACAAACTCCTCATCCAGAGACTTCCAGCTTTAATGCCCCAGAGAGGACAGCTGTTGATGCTTCATGCCAGCATTCCATTGCACATTACAGTTCAGGATAAAAACTGTTAAATTCCTCCAAGTTTCCGGGATGATGGAGTGACTCCACAGGCAACTTCTTGTCTTCACTCCCGTGAAAGCGAGAGGAGCAAGAAAACAAAGGGAAGGAAGAAAAAATCAGGGAGAGACCCATCAAACCCTACTACACCATTTGCAATCTTGTTGCTGTTCCTAAGACTAAAAGATCATATAATCGACTGAGGAATGTGACTACTCATGCTGCAAAATTCCAAACAACCACCCTCTTAAACTCTCAAAATGAATTTCTATCCCCTTGAAACGTGGAGCTAAGCTGGACTGTTAACAATCTTAGTCCACAGCAGCTGACCAAAGGCAGCACAGTGATCAATCCTCAATTCCTAAGTTCGTTTTGGAAAGTTCATAAACCAACCAAGTCAAGCAAAACACGAATCCCAGTTCCAGAAACAAACAAGTGAATCACGGAAAAGCCCAAATTGAGACGCATTCTCCCCAAGTTGCATTTTCAATCGCTTAAAAAAGTCAAACCCAGAGACCACAATCCGAATTGACCAATCCATCATGAATCGATCAGTGGGAAAAGGAACAGGAAAATAGAGGCGAGAAAATTGGGAGAAAGAGGGAGGTGCGAAAGAGAGAAGAAGAATTGGGACGGCATTCTACGCGTTAGTAGCAAACTACCTTGGCCTTGGAAATGACCTTGACAGCGACGGACTCGCCCTTGAGCTCGCCTTTCTTCCCCTTCGCCCAGCAGGTATGCCCAAAATGCCCCCGCCCAACCTCCTTCCCGAGCTCGTACTTGGCCGCAATGTTCTTCGGGTACCCGAAATTCTTGTCCAGCGGGACCTCGCTCTCCTCCCCGCCACCACCGCCGCCGCCCTCCTCGTCCTCCGGAATCGGACCCTGCTTCGGAGTCTTCTTCGTCTGGCCCTTCTTCCGCATCATCCTCATGATCGGCTTGGCCGGAGAAGGCGGCGGCAGCGGCCACTTGAACTTCCTCCCCGGGGTCCCGGACGGCGAAGGCGACGGCGGGACCCCGTGCGGCAGGGGGCTCTGGAACGGACTAGCAGCATACGAACTCCCGTTGTTGGAATCCCCGGCGACCGGAGTCGTCGGGACCCACGACGGCGACTTCGCCGCACTCTGGTGGTTGTTGCTGCTGTTGTCGTTACTCCTCCCCGGAGCTGCTTCATTGTTACTGAAGGACGTCGATTGTGGCGCCTGATCGGACAACACTGCTCCCTTGGCACAGCACTGCCCCATCCCCGCCGACGCCGGAGGCTAGGAAATTCGAGGGAGCAGGTCAATTGGGTTCTGATCGGAGGGGATCAAGAAGAGATGAGGGTGAATTCCCGGAGCATTACTCAGGCGGCCGGGGACGGTGTTGACCGAGAGAAAGAGGGGAAATAGGGAGAAGGTTGGGAGTTGCTGGTGTGAGTTTTCAAAGCATTTGGGGGAAAAGTTTTCTTCTTTGTATGTAAGATTTCGGGTTTGGGCGCTTTGAAGAGGTAAGAGAGAGAGACGACAATGGAAGGCGAAGGAAAGGAAAGCAGGAAGAAGAAATAGAAGAGAGAGAGAGAGAGGAAAAAGGAAATGGAAAAGAAGAGAGAGAGAGTGGCAGGCTGGCCTGTGACATCGAGCTATACGTAATTAATGTGGCCGTTGAACGAAATTAAAAATAATTTCCGAGTAACAAAATGTTGAAATTTACAGTTTTCAGGGATTAATAAAAGATAAAGCGAAAGTGGGCTTGCTCAGCGCCGGCCTCTGGTTCGGTTTATCAGGGCCCAGTATAGATATACTCATGGAATTGGGCCTGATAAATGGCGGGAGCCCATTTTACAGTTTCATGTTTTCTTTCCTCATCGCACGCAACTCTTCACTATTTACACATCAAGCCCCTCGTAAAAACGTATATTTACTAGCAAAACCCCCCTGGCTCCAGCAAATCTCAATTGGGCTCCGTTCTCTCGCTCTCTCACGACTTACAGGCCTCTCTCAACACAAGTCGGCTCCATTTCTCCCTCTCCCGCTTCGATCCCCATTTCCATGTCATTCGTCGTTTCAGCTCCCTCCCCCCGCGGCTAACTCGGCCGATTCTAGGGTTTCTTCTTGGTATCCCTCTCTCTCTCTCTCTCTCTCTTCCTTTCGCGCGCGTTCTCCTAGGGTTTTCTCTGCTTCATCGTCGCCGTGGAGGAGGGGGTTTGGGGATTGGAGTATTTGCCGGGGGCTTCCTAGATTGAAAAATGGAGGCCGCCGCTGGTGTCGCCGCCTCTCGCGGGGGCTCTCTGCCGATGAGTTCGTCGTCGAGGAAGGAGTGGCGTGCGGTGTCGGACCATCATTCTGCTCGAAACCCCAGCGACGAGGTGGGGGGGCTTTTCTCGGTGTCAACTCTTTGTATAATTTGCATCCGACCTTGTTTTTTTCGTTTATGGGAGATGAATGTAGGAATTGGATGGTCGTCAACTGCAGTCCATGTCTGCATGTGTGGTAGAATTGCTTCTTTGCGGACTATGAGCTGTTTGTTATCCTTGAAACTGCTGTTTCAGTAGTTTAGGCGTGTTGAGCTGGCCCTCTATTTGCGGATTAGCAGCTTCTATGTGGTCTGTATGATTAGGGAACCTTTCTCCCAGTACTGAATTGCTGAAATTAATTGCCTTTCTTGAACTTTATATGAAATCTGATTTTGATGATACGTGGCATAAACTTTAGCATCCTATAAGCTCACCATCTTAATAAAATAACTAGATGTTTGTTGATCCTAGGAGATGGAATGTTCCAAGTTAGAGAAGTCAGATCAGAGAACACTCTGTGAAACCGAACTTGACATTTCTAAGCCAGGCTTTGATGAATGTTCAGAGTAAAGAAAGTGTTCTTGTTTGTTATTTGTCAAGGTGCAGCATGGGAGAGGGCCAGTTGGTGTGGATTTCTGCTCTATTAATGTCGATGGGAGTTTGGACAATGACATTTTACTTCAGCGGGTTCATTCCTTTGCTACACAAAGGGAAGAATTGCAACAAATGGAAATTGAGTTAAGAGCACAGATGATTGCTAGATCGGAGATATTGGAGATACAAAATAGCTTTGATGCTCAAATCAAAGAACGTGAAGATTCTGCTGCGAAGCTTCAGGTGAGCTATTATACTTGCAAGGGTGTGCATTTTGGTAATTTTCCACTATGACATTCTGTTTGCCGTCAGCTGCATAGTTTGTATGACTGTTTTGGCCGGTGGAATAATGAAGTAGCTTTTGAGAAAGACAACAATGGGGCTGCAACTTTTTCCACCTCTCAATTGTGGATATATATTTCGTTTCAGGAAAAACTCCGTGAGAGAGAGCAGGCAATTCATGACCTTGAAAGAAGAATTGAAGAGACAGACAGGGAGCTACATGCTGTGAAATTGGATAATGAAGCGGTTTGTGGTCTTCTTTCTCTGGCTCTTACATCAAGTGCTGTTTGTTTCCTGTAAACTGTGTGATATGATTTTCTTGTTTCTGCAGGCATGGGCTAAAGAGGACCTTCTCCGAGAGCAAAACAAAGAGCTTGCTACTTTTAGGTGAGTGTATGAGAGGCACTTTTCCTTTAATCATTACCCCCTCTCCCCTTTCTTTTGTTGGTTGTTTGGTTAAGTATTACCCTCAGGATGTAAATGCGAAGGAGAAGTATGATATCTTATTATGAAATGTATTATGTTTATATTGAAATCACTACTTGAAATCTGTATGATGACTGTCAGACTCACTTCTTTATCTGGTCTAGAGGTGTTTTGGAAGAACAGCCTGTATGTTTTGGTTCTAATGCTATAAAACCATTATTAGATATATGTGCATTTCTCTGGTTCTTCTTTCGATCTGAAATTTGAAAGAGTTGCAATTTACTATTCCTTGTGCAGAAGGGAGCGTGATCACACTGAGGCTGAACGTGCACAGCACATGCAGCAAATACATGAGTTTCAAGAACACATCCAGGATAAAGAGAGGCAGATTCTTGAGTTGCAAGAACAGGTTAGCTCACATATGTTTCTCATGTGGTCATGCTCTGACATTGGCTATCATAGTTTAGAGTTTTGATACTCTGTATCTATTCTACATTTTTCTTCTTCTTTTTTCCTTTAAGATCCTTGAATTGAATTAAAGGAATCCTGGTTGGAGTCTTTAAGATTATTTTCCATGAGGCAAGGTCATCTAATGCTGTTTTCTTTCAGCATAGGGTTGATCAGGAGACTATCTACTTGAAGGACGAACAACTGAAAGTTTGGATTGCACGTGTTCAGGAGATGGATGCCTTGCAATCTAATTTACAGGCTGAACTGCGTGAACGGATTGATCAATATAATCAGCTGTGGCTTGGATGTCAAAGACAGGTTTGTTTGCTGTGATGTCTTTCTTAAACTCTGCTGGTTTGTAGGGAATTAGGATTTAAATTACTACTTGAAAATGATTGTGAAACTGCTTATGGCAGTGTATGTAATCTGTTTTTATTTCCTTGCTTCATCTGCCAATTGAACAAACTAATTTATTTATGTGAAAGCTTAATTCAAATTGATGCTTTGTTATTTGGCGAGTGTGGGCTGCCAACATATGAATTTTTTGTTTTTTGGTTGACATTGCAGTTTGTAGAAATGGAGAGACTTCATGTACATACCATACAACAGCTGCAGATGGAGCTGGCTGATAGGACTGGATCCTATCTTGATGAGTCTCGGTTTTCTCAGACAAACTCAAAAGACTCGACTAAGTTTGGTCAGACTTCTGGAAACCAACTAGATGTAAATGGAAGTGGCACATCAAATGCTAATAATGGGGTACATTTGAATGGGAGTGCTGATAGTGTCTCATCATTTGCTTCCTCTGGAAATGCTGCAAATCAGGTAGGTTTGCCTTTCTTATTTAAACTGATGGCACATGCATATCTCATTAGGCTCAGTGTAAGTTGCGGTTGGAGTCAATGTGGTATTTCCTGTAGCATGAAACTTACCTCACCCGACATTTTCCATTATGTTGGACATTCAAATGAATAGTTTTAGTTTTGCTAATTGCTGCCAACCTTTTGTTGATGAGATATGCAGTTACAGAAAATCTTTTTATATGGTGACAGATTAGAAAGCTTTATGTACACCTTCTGTATATTTTTTTTTTTACTGCAAGGTGATTAGTCATGTCCTCACTCCTCAGTTCATTGTGCGCTGTCAATTCGTGACAGTATTTGTTTTACGCTGGATACTGTACTATTAGGAAAAAATGCTGGAACCATAGATTCCAGTAGATTCAGTAACTTTGAAGGGTCTGCAGTGAGTGGTTTAGTGGACAATGCAATGTTGGTGGGGCTTTATGCTGAAGAAATGGATGAGATGGAGAGTGAGTGTTGGTACCTACTTGCTGGATTCTTACTTGGCTTGCTGTCTGTGATTGTCTGAGCTGGAGAACATGGAATAATACAATACACGGACACTGTTTTTTATTTTGTTGAGCACTCATTATGTTGTCCGACTTGTGACTATCTCTCCCTTGTGCTGATCTAGCTTTCGAAGTTTCAGTGGGAAGTAAAATTTTGTTTTGTGTTTGCTGCCAGACCAACCATGTTGCTGGCATGCCGTTATCTCCATCATCTTTAATGGGAATGCCGACCTACATTCCACCTGGACAGATGACAGCGCTACATCCCTTCATTCTGCATCAACAGGGGATTCCTCATTCAATGCCATCACATGTTCATCCGTCTCAAGTGGGACATTTTCACTCAGTACCAGCAATGTCATCCCTCCCACAGTGGCAGACGCAGCAGGTTCTGTTAAATGTTTTCTTTTAAGCTTGTATTTATACTTCCCATGGTTTAGGTGCTGCGTATCTTCTTTTGCTTTAGGATTCGAATGTTTGTCTTGTAATTCTATTTGAATGACTTCTTTGCACTTACCTGCAGGCTGCCTCCGAAGCATCACAAGTGTCTACACAGAATCAACTCACACCATCTCAAAGTGAGCAGAACCTTGATAGACCTGAAACAAAATATTATGATATGTCTGTTAATGGACAAGGTTATCGGTCAGATTATCTAGATGTTCATAGAAATCAAGCGGCTCAGGCTGATTCCGTGATCTCATCATCCATTGTTGACCAACAGGTACTTGTTAACATGTTTTATTTAGACCAAACAAGTAATACTACTTTGATTTCTCATTTGTAATGAGAGTACTATGCTTTCAGGTTCTTGAGTCTATTGATAGAAGTTATGTGGTTGCGAATCAGCCGGATCAAAACCTACAACATATTTCTGCTCAATTTAGTGAAGCATTACAGTTAAACTCTCTTGAGCAGAAAGTTGAAATGCAGGTTTGTGTGTTTGCCTTGATTTCTGATGTAATTTATCATTGATTCGGCATCAAAGTTTGATGCTTATAGATTAGTTGAACTTGAATTGGTGCAGGAACAAAATCTCATTAGCTTGACCAATGATGGATTAGAGAGGCCGATTGTGTCTGAAGAACAAGAGAGTTCTGTTGTTGATGTCTCACTTCCTGAAGCCTCGGTTCAATCGGCTAGGCTCACTGAAGCAGTCATCAATAATGGGGCTGGTACAACTGTCCCTGAAGCTTTTATCTCAACCGGTCAGGCCAATATTGCGACTGCCGCAAAGGCGTTGGAGCCTGCCCTTATTGACGAAAGATCTTTATTGGCATGCATAGTTCGCACAATTCCTGCTGGTGGTAGAATTCGCATAAACTCAACGGTTCGTTTGTAGTTGGCTATTAAAACCTTTTTATTTCTAATGTAGCACAAGCAGATTCTTGGAGGAGTTGAAATAACTAGACTTTTTTTCCTGGTTCCATTGCAGCTACCAAATAGGTTAGGAAAGATGCTTGCACCTCTACATTGGCACGACTACAAGAAAAAGTATGGGAAGCTAGATGACTTTGTGGCTGGTCATCCAGAGGTATGGTTCTGGAATTACACTCCAAAGTGATTTTCTTTCTAATGCGCTATTGTCTTACCCTAACACTTGTGGGCTGTGGGGGGTTTTCAGCTGTTCTTGATCGAGGGAGACTACATTCAGCTAAGAGAAGGGGCACAAGAGATGATAGCTGCTACAGCTGCAGTTGCTAAAGTAGCTGCTGCCGCTGCATCCTCCACTCCTTACTCATCTTTCTTGCCTACCATGTCCCTAACCCCAATGGCACAGTCTCACCGGGCCAAAAAGTTACCTTCTACAGACTCCAACCACCTAAATGGTGTTAGTTTTGGTGTCCCTGGTGGCATGTCAAACGTGAAGATACTAAGCAAATCGAAGGATAATAATCGGGATACGAATGTGGGAGCTAATGTGGGCGGAAGTGGTCAGAGCAAGGTTTCAACTCATGTTAAGCCTAATTCCAGTTTTGTGGGGAATCAGCAGGGAAGGTACAGTCTTGAATCCCTTCCAAAAGTCTTGTTGCCGAGATGGTTTATTTCTTTCTGACAATGACATACACATTATCTGTCAGTTGATGACTTGTTGATTTTGTGTTTCTTTTGACACTGTTGCAGGGTCGCTGGAAATGTGCCAACTTCTAGAAGATAGTAAGCATCGAGACCGAGAACGACCGAGAATGTTAGGGAAAACAGTTTGAATGTATTGAATGATGATAGTAATTCTATGGTCTTCTAGGAGGTAATGCCAAACTGGATGCGTCCTTGTGGCTGGTACTAGGCATATCAGATGGCCGGTGGAGGTTTTGTTGAGTGGAAGAAATATTTTGGGAATGCTTACTGCTGCGGAAGTATGAACGATTAACTTATTGGATGTTGAGGAAAAACATGGTCTTTTAGGAAATTTGTTTCTTTGCTGTCTTCAGTATGGTCACTATATACCGATTCGTGTCGTGTTATCTAATTTCGTTATTTTTCAGTGCGTTTACAATACCGAAAAGGAAATTGTATCTCGTGCGCCATGGCCATGATGTTAAGGTACAATGGCTGTTGATTACGTTGGGTTGTTGATTTGCATAAGGTTGAATCTTCCAAGCACCGTTGCGTCATTGAGGGGCCTTTGATCACTGAATGTTGCCTTGGGCGTACTTGAACTTTGAATATGGAAATCTAGTCAATCGGCCCAGCACAAAGTTGTTTCAAAAATCAACAGGCATGAAATTTTGTTAACCAAACGGGGAACAAGCATGGGGTTTAGCCTAATAAGGGAAGGGAGGGGATTAAAGGAGAAAAGCTTTGGCGCAGTTCAAAGTACGTTCACGGGACATTTTAGAAAAGGTAAGTGGAAGTCCAGGCATATAGTGGTGCTCATTGGATTGCGACCTTGAAACTAAAGTACTGTGAACACACCCAGAGACACTAGGACTTCATGTTGGTTTTCCTATCCCTGATAGGTGCGCTGCTGCTGCTGCTGTTGCTGCTGCTTTGGGTCGTTCATCTGAAAAGGATGTCGAGGAGCTTGAAGGTACATTGGTTGCTGTTGCTGCTGCTGCGACCATTCAATTTGACCTTGTGATGCCTGCATGTAGTGTTGTTGTTGTTGTTGCTGCTGCTGCTCTTGTTGCACCGACGCCATCTGAAATGTATACATAGACACACAGACAGAGAGAGAGAATTTGATAACCAATTCGTTTGAACATCAGCAGTAAAATAAGGTTTATTTAGGCTCTGCGAAGGTTTTACCTGAGCATTTGGTGGCGGTGTCGTCCCTTGTGGCTGTGGTGGTGGTGGCTGAGCATCAGCAATCTTAGCTAGGTACATCAGGTTCTGTTGTAGCTGGTTTTGCAAACTGATTCAACTCCCCGATTGGATATAGTATTGCAAAGAGAAAACAGAGGCTAGTTATTGTTTTTTGCTACAAGGTGATTCCAAGCACCATAGTTAAAAATGTCTAGCATCGAACTTGCTGATCCATTTAACTCATCTACTAAAGCCAAGCCAACAACACATCAAATCTAGGGGAAGGCAAGGGAGAGGGAAAGGCAGCCTACAAGGTGCAACTGAGAATTACCAACTTCTATGTTGTTCCCAGAGAAAGGAAATAAGCAGATCTAGACAAACTTATCAAATTCATTTGCTGCATACTCACTCAAAAATCACCAGATCACCTTCTGGTTGGATTATTGATGAGCATTAAAGAGAGAAATGACTTATTTTAACTAATGCAGCACAGAATTTATGAGACCTCCACAAAACTGTTCTACTTCTCCTGATAATGCCTCTTCTCTTATCTATACAGAACAGCTGATTTTGGCCAAACTCAACTGCAGCACACCCAACCAAGTTTAACAGGGAGACTGGTGTTTACATAGCTTTAGAACAGAGATGAAAATACCCTAATGTTTCCCTGTGATCTTTCAGGCAAGAGCAAGAGTGAAAGCGCTAACAAGAAAAGAAAAGACTTCCAGATCAACAACACGCAGAAGTCTCAATGAAGTTGAAGCATCAACATTCTGAGGAAATAAGTTTTTGAATGCAATGCATATGCTCAATAGACAAACAAAAAATCGACCAGGTAGTTGATATCACTCACGAGGAACATTCAGCAAACTTCCCGGCACTCTGATGCTCCAGGATAGCCATGATCAACTTCTTGTTATCATCCAAGTACTGCAATAAAGAACCAGAACCAAAGATCAAAGGTAGCCCAACACAAAGAAGCAATCAAATAGATCTGAGATTTTTCAAACCTCGAAGACAAGACAAATAGATTAATTGCCTCCAAGAATCCCACAGTGAAGCATAATCAGTGCACCACAATGTTACAAAGTCACGAAGCCAATGACTACAATGCAGTTTTTTCCATGGTGAATCCAAACCAAGCACTAAAATGAAGCCAAGAGCACAAATCGTTGGCAAAGCTAAGGAATAGCCAAAAGGAAAGCAACCCATTACTCCCATGGCGAAGAACAATAAAACGAAATAGAAAAGGGAAGTTCTTGTTCCTGCTATGCTCTTCAATCTTCACAAAAGCAAAGTAATGCCATGACCTTACTCTTGTTGGTCATACAATGTCGACTGAATCTTATATAATGAAATGGCACATTCACACTGTGTAAAAAACTAACGAATCCAAAGAGACTCAAGATCTTGATCCATAAGGCGTGTGAACTCGTAAAACGTATACCCAAAAAAGGAGAGGAAGAACAAAGGACCCATGAAAGCTAGCATGGAGGATTTCATTACGGAATCACGATTGGGGAAGGAAATGTGGGAAAACAATGCCATGCAAAAATAGGGTAAGGAAGAACTAATCCCATTGCTACCTTCTGAATCTGCTCGGTGGTGACGTTTCCCGGAGGAGTGTTCATCAGCATCCCCTGCTGCTGCTGCTGTGGCGGTGGCGTCTGCGTCATTGTTTTTTCCCTTGTCTCCCCACTTCCTTCCTTTCCCACAAATGCCGTAGAAAAAACCCACAAAAACCAAAAACCCTTTCGTCTCCCTTCACCTTCTTTTTCACTCCATCTCTCTCTCTCCCTATCTCTTTCTGGTCTTTGTTTGCTGTCAGGCGCTGCAGAAAGAAAACAGAGAAAACGTCCAAAGACGGAAGGCCGTTCCTGCCACTCTGCAGAAACTATTTATACCAGTAGGAAGACTTCTTCCACGGGCCACGTCATCAAAGCCAGAACCTAAAACGACGTCGTGGGAGCTTTACTCGGATTGCTGCTTATCCGACGACGTTTAATTCTGTTCGCGTTCGTGTTAATTTTATTCGATACTGCCGGCCGGAGGGGAAGGAGAAGAGGAAGAAGAAGAAATTGAGCGAGGCGGGCGAGAGAGGAAAAAAAGAAGGGCGCGATGGGTTATGTGCTAAGGGTGAGATTGGCGTCGTTCTTCGCCGGAGCAGCGACGGCGTCTTTCGTCGGACTTTACAGCCTGTACAAGGATTACAAGGTTGCTCATGAATCCATATCTCAGCAGGTATTTGTTACCCCACCTTTTGTGTTAATTTTTTTTTTTGGGGTCTTAGTTTTAACCTTGCCGGAAGTCTGTTCCTTTGTTCTACGAATGCCCGTCGGTCCGAGGAATTTCTTCCATCAATGCAAGATTATGAATTTTTTTTTGAGTTTGGATTCATTAGGGGTTTCTTGCGTAAAGCTGATTGCTTTGGCGTGAGTGGGTTTGCAATTCCATTTTTTTTTTCTTGTTTGGTTTCGGGTTGGTAGATTTGGTTTCCTTCTGGCAATTGAGATTCTGTAGTTGGTTGGCATTTCGACGATCAAAGGCCTGTCTAGGAGTTGATAATCGGTAGTTTATGGCATCGTTCAATCAGTAGGCTGGATGGCCTTTTTTCTTCTTCCAAATGTAGTTGCTAAACAATGTGCAAGAAGAATGAATTATTCTTTAACTTAGGTTGCTGGTTTGAAAACCATCCTTCTGACTGGATCATTGGAAGATTTTTGTTTTTGGTTTCTTGGATCATGTATGCATCACTCTCTGAATCATATGTAGTACTTACACATTTGGAGATTCAAAATTCAACTGAATTTCCACTCTGCTGATATATCTGAAGCATGCTTCCAAAAGATGGGCCATCTTTCCATTTCTCAGCATCAGACCTTTCCTAAAGTTCATTAGCAATCTCTAACAATTGATAGTCATTCCCAATTGCATTTCAAGTGTCATGTTCACTACTCATTATGCAGTGTTGTTAGAAACAATAAATTGAGTTTCACCTGTGAAAGGACTCATTCGATGTATACGGGATTAATGAATTACATCATGGTAAGTTTGGCCCTATGATCATGAAGATAAAGACTTGAGGACATAAAAATTGCCTAATAACTGCATCCTTCATCTGGAAGGGTAACTGAGTAGAGAAAGGAACATAGAAAGTTTACTAGTTCAGCTTCTTTTCCTCTTCTGGGTGATGATGCGATGCACTGCAAGTGATTGTTGAAATTTTCCGTCTCTTTTGACAGTAGTTTTCTTTTTCATTTGTTTCCCAGGTGAAAGGCCTATATGAGACGCTTGATGCACGGATTTCTGCACTCGAAAACTTGAAACAATCTGAAGTTCCACAACCAGCAGAGGCAACGGAGTAGCTTCTCGGAATGAAGAGTAACATTTTAGTATGATACGTACTGTGGCTTTCAAAACCAAACACGTGCTACTGAAATTGCCATTGGTTTCTCCTGCACATTCCTTGTAATCAATGGAATAAATTTTACATCTTGAACAAATGACATGAGTTCGCATTTTGATTGAATGAATCCTGGCATTGCAGTTCACCAACATTTTGATTGAATAAATTACAGCTTGAACAATTAGTGAGTATATCCGTAGGTTAAATGGGCGTGTTCATGCAAGATGTAGACTAGTTTAAGTATTAAGTGAAAACCGTGGTTGCTAAGAACGATATGAATCGTCTTTAAAGACGAGGCAAAGCGTAGACTGTTTTCACCCACAGCTGGGCCACCTCTCTGTTACCTTGGAACTCTAGTCCAGTGGTACCGTGATAACAATCCAACCGAGGGGCTAAATAATGTAGATTTCCATCTTTCTGCAATTTTCTGCTGTGTACTGTGATCATGCTTTCTTTTTGGAACCCTAATCTAGTGGTCCTGTTATACATCAGTGTTGCTTACTTTCCTATGCTACAAGTAATCCTAATACAGTGGTCCTATTATACTTCAGTGTTGCTTACTTTCGCATACTACAGGTAGTCCCAAATCACGACGATTACATTTGCTGTTTTTAGCGTCCAGTTTAACTGGGGAGTCATTTAAACCTTATTGATGAATTGGCGTCTCCCAACTTGAGAAGAGAAGCCACAACATCCCTCATGGAGGGTCTCATTTCAGGCACTGGCTGAGTGCACTCAAGTCCCAGTTCCAGTAGCTTCTTAGCCTTCTCTTGCTGATCTGGATCCCAAGACCTGATTTCATTATCAACAAACTTTATAAAGTTGCTACCCTCGTCATCACCATCATGCTTCCCTTCTACATTCTTCCTCGCCCAACAAGCAATGTCCTGGCCTTCCTCGAAGCTTGGATCAACAGGCATTTTTCTGCAGACCAGCTCTAGCAAAATCACTCCGTAGCTGTACACATCGACTTTATCTGTCAGCTTCGTTGAGTATGCATTTTCTGTCAGGGAGAAACAAGAGAAAGGTGAGTGCTTCGAATGAGATAATCAACTGAAAATTGTTTGATGATGAGGCTTGGCCATAATTATTATACCTGGAGCCATGTACCCAAGGGTGCCAATAATCTTGGATACTGTTGAGCTAGACTGCTCACCATCAGGATAATTATGAACACCTAACTTCGCCATTCCAAAGTCTGCAACTTTGGGCTCCAAGTCTGAATCCAGTAACACATTGTCGGATTTCACGTCCCTATGAATGAGTTGGGGCACACAGTCATGGTGAAGGTAAGAAAGGCACTGAGCGATACCGAGTGCAATGCGTAATCTATCCTCCCAATCCAGAACCAACCAGGATTGCTCTCTGTGCAGTACATCAAACAGCGTCCCTCCAGGCATGTATTCAGTGACAATGAAACAATCTCCCTTTGCAATGCAGTATCCCCCTATTTTCACTGCATTTCTATGCTTCGCCATGTTCAGGATTCTTATCTCATGGATGAAGTCCGATTCAGAAAGATTATTCACCTTCTTGACAGCCCACTTCTTTCTGGAGTGCACAGATTCTGTCCAGTAAACTGTCCCGTGTCTCCCTCTTCCTATCTCATTGCAGCTTTCAGCAGCACGGATTATGTCTTCAAACCTCAGATCATCTGGTAAGCTTTCGGATCTCATTGTGGATTCGTGGAGAAGTGATTGGTCACGCTTAAGTTTCTGGTGAATCACACGCATGATGAACACATAAACCATGGCACAAACTATTGCGATAGTACCGATCACTGTGATAACAACAGCAGCTACTTCACCACTGCTCATATGACCATGTCTTTCTCTCCTGCCACACCTTGTGTCATTGCTTGTAATACAAATCCCAGGATTTCCAAGGGAAGATCCTGGATGTTTAGCTGCTATTTTTTCCCAAGAAGCTGGGATTCTGCCGTAGAGTTGCTCGTTGAATGATATGTTGAAGAAGTTGAGGGCTGCCATATTCTTCAGTTGACTAGGTATCTCACCGGAGAAATTGTTGCTCGAGAGATCGAGAGCTTCCAAGTCGTCCAGATTCCCTAGGCATGATGGGATTTGACCAGAGAAATGGTTATGGCTGACATTGAGAACTAAACTAAACTGGCGGACTCTGCTCAGGCTGCAAGGAAGAGGGCTTGCAAGCATGTTGCTGCCGAGGTGCAGCGAGCGAAGATTCTGGAGTGGAGAGAACGAGTCGGGAATCACTCCAGTGAGGTTGTTCTCACTCAGGAAGAAAAGTTCCAAGCTTTCCAGTGTCATGATGTCAGGAGGAATACCTCCTGAAATGGTATTCCCACTAAGATCAAGTTCCATCAATTTAGTACAATTGCTCAGCTCTTGAGGAATACTTCCTGTCAATACATTAGAAGAAAGATTTAGCCTATGGAGCTTGGCGAGTTTGCCAAGCTCGGGCGGGATAGAGCCAGAGAGTCTGTTTCCTGAAAAATCAATCGTGGAGAGATTGCTCCAGTAGCCAAGAACTGGTGGTATGGTCCCTTCAAGCAAATTTGAAGTAATCTCCATGTAACTTAATCTGTTGTTCTTTCCAATATTCGCCGGTATTTCCCCTTGCAGCTGATTATGGCTCAAAATCAACCTATAAAGAGATGAACACGCACCAATACTAACTGGAAAGCTGCCATTAAGCTGGTTGTGGCCAAGGACAAGAACTGAAAGCTTGTTTCCTGCGCATAAACTCGATGGAATTGGACCAGAAAGGGAGTTTCCAATCAGATCAAGTTTCACAAGTGGAGAGTACTTCCCAAGCTCAGATGGTATAACTCCAGTCAAGTTGTTATGAGCCAGAGAAAGAAACTCGAGCTGTGTCAGCTGGGCAATCTCAGATGGGATTCCACCATGCAGCTTGTTTTCATGGAGAGCCAACTCCTTTAACCTCTTCAACCCACCAATCTGCCTGGGGATTTCGCCAGTAATTCCATTCTGGAACAAATACAGAACCTCAAGTCCTTCAAGAAGCGAAATTTCAGGTGGAATGCTCCCTTCAATCAGGTTATCGTCCAGTCTGAGATCAATAAGCGAGCTGCAATTGCCAAGCTGTGGAGGTAAGGTGCCATTGAGCTTGTTGCCGGAGAGATACAAGTAATTCAAGTTCTTGAGATCACCAATGGAAGGAGGAATTTGGCCAACTAACTGATTCCAAGAAAGAGCAAGACTGTTTAGCTGCTGGCAATGAGCTATCTTCTCAGAGAGAGTGCCGCTCAGCTGGTTAGTCGACAAATCAATCCACTCCAAATTCCCCATAGCCCACAAGCTCTCCGGGATTTCTCCCTCCAGTTTGTTTCTATCCAGAGCAAGCTTTCTAAGCTGCACAAGACCCGTGAAGATCTCAGCCTCCATCTCACCAGCTAGACCACTACCCGAAGCAACAAACTGAGTAAGATTCCGGCAATTTCTCAGGGAAACAGGGATAGATCCAGAGAGCCGATTCTCAGAGACCCAGAAATTGGAAAGAGCACATGAAGGTGGGAAATCAGGGAGCGACCCGGTAAAGCGATTGGAGATAAGGTACAGAGTTTCCAGATTGGGAAGAGTGAACAGCTCAATCGGAATCTCCCCATCTAAAGTATTGTTCTCTAATCCAAGGTATTGAAGACTAGTGCAGGAGGCTACCTGTTTCGGGATTTCGCCGGAGAGACCATTGTAGCTGAGGTCCAGCACCGTCAGCTTCTTGGACTGGAAAAGCTCCGGCGGGATGGGACCCACTAACTGGTTAATCCCGAGGACGATGGTGTCGAGCTGCGAGCAGTTCCCGAGCTGAGGTGGAAGGATTCCGGTGAAATTGTTGAGACCAAGGTCGAGAGATACGAGGGCTTCGTGGAGGCAGAGATACGAAACAGAGTGGTTGAGGTCGGCAGAAAGACCGAGGCTTGTGAAGTTCAAGGACATGATTTGTGGGGTTGGAGTGTCTGGGTAGCAGGAAACTCCACGCCATTGACAAGGAGATGAAGAAAGGTTGTTCCATTGCAGGAGATGCTGAGACTGGGAAGGGAGACTGTCTCTGAACTGAAGGAGGTAAGTCGCTGCTGGAGAGGCTACAGCAGCTGAACTGGTGATGACTGAAATTAGAAGGAGAGATTGTGAGAAGAAGAGGAAGTAGAAGAGACTCCAGCAGATCATTGCTGTAACTATACCCCAATCAGTGAAATTTGATGAAAATTAAGCTTTCAGGGATGGATGGAGCAGAAGAACGATGATGTGAGGTTAGTCCTTTGATTAATCACAGTAGCAAAGTAATGCTTTTTTCATAGATTAACAGATAGGGGAATAGGAAATCAGCTAATCAGGAGTACATCTGTTTTTTGTTTTGTTCTTCTTGGTTTTATTCCGGTCACCGGTGGCCGGCGGTGGGGTTGTTTTTACAAGACTGAAAGTCAATTTTAAATCATTTGCATCCGCACTACGAACAAAAGTCTGATTATTCAGGCGGAGTAGTGGGGGAATGTGAATCCACTCGAATCTCCCAAGTAATAATACTAACCATTACCAACCCCACTTAGGTGTGAGAATGAGACTCAGACTGAGAGAGAGAAAAAAAACCACATGAAATAAATTGTTTACTCTGTTCCTCTGTTTCTTTCTGGGGTTTTGTTTTGTTCTTGCTTCTGGTTAAAGTTCTTCGCTTAAAGTTAAATCACCATGTGCTTCACATTTCGCAGCATAGTTTAACAATTTGTTGACTTACAGAATCCGATGGAAGAACAAGAAATTGCAGAGCATTGTCTAGTTTGTCTCCACCCATTGCTAATACCAAAAAAGCTCTGTTAAAGTTCATATTTCATGGGTTTGTGCCAGTCTCTGCAATTAGTACACTGAATTGGATTAAGAAAACAGAGGGGTTACAAATCCCAATTGGATTTCATCTCTCCATGGGAGGAGATCACCTAAGCAGCCACCTGTTAACCTCGTAATTAGAAGCAGGATCAGCACAGGAGGAGATAATCTCGTCAGTCGCAGTTAGAACGCTGTCAGTGTAAGACGAGGATGACATTTTGGATCTCTGCTCCATATAGCTGGGATACCTCAACTGGTACTCCGCATCGTAATCATAATCTGCGGCAGATCGGGGCGGATCGGGGAAAGACAATCGTTTCTTCGCCGTCGGGGGAGTAGCGCCGCTGCCACTATGCGGCTGCCTGATTGGCTGCTGCTGCTGCTGCTCCCTGCTGTGGTCAGAGGTAAGAGTCGGAGAAGGAGATGAAACAGAGTTGTTCCTCTGTTTCGGGGCACTCTGCGATCTCGACCTTGCCTTGGCCGACTCCGTCGCCGCCATGTACCGCGGGCTGCCTGAACGAGAGTGAAACCCCGCCGCTGCCTGAGCCAGCGGTGGTAATTTTGGCGATGATATGGAGTGGTGGTGATGCAGGGGAGAGGCAGGGGAGTTGCTCTGGCGCCGGCGAGGACTCTGTTTTTGAGGAAAAGGAGGGTGGAGAGAACGGGTGTCCATTTCCACGGTTTTGATTGACGCGGCAGTGGAGTCGATGGAAGCTCGCCGCTGCCATCTGTTCTCCGATGTCCTCTGGCCGCTTCTTGTCCAGCCAGTACTGCCTTCTTCTTCTTCCACCTCTCCTTCACTCGCATATCTCACTAATTCCCTCTCCCTTCTCCTCTCACACCCGCCGCTCCACAGCTGGTGGGTTTGTTGTAAAATTGAACGGATTTCCTCTTCCATTTCCGCCTTTGTTCCATCATCATCATCATCAACAGCAGCAGCATTGTCATTGTCCCTGTAGTTGTCGCCATCTCTGAAGCATTGCTCCAGGCTGTGCTTAACAGGAAGACGGCCACTGTCGGCGGTGGCCGGAGAAAGAGAACGGCCGTGGTGGTTGCGATTGTGAAGCACCTGAGCCTGAACTCTGAGCAGAGATTGAATGCAGTGAAGGGTGAGTTTCGCTCGTCTCCTGACATTTTGCCCTCTCACCAACGCTTGCAGCTTCACCACCCCTTTCAGCGCTCTCAGTGCCTTCCTCCCCTGATCCCAAAAGAAAAATGTCACCGCGCGCTAAATGGTACATTCCAATAACAACTCGAGCTATTGGGACGAACTGGTTTTCCTGATACTCACCAAGTAGCCTCTGAAAGCGGTCTGGATCGAGACGGCGGCGAAATGCTGCTTGACGAAGAGGGAAGGATTGGCGAGCCTGACGACTTCCACCGCCGCCTGAGCGGTGGCAACTGCAGCCTGAGCGGCTGCAGTGGTGGCCATCGCCACCGCGAGGGCGTGCCTTTGCTTACTAGCAGCTTGCTCCGTGGGGGAATTCGACACCACCATCCTGCTGCCGCCGCCACAGTGGTGGAGAATGACAGTAGTAGCAGCAGTCTCCTGCTGGCTGGTGTTGGAACTACTAGAGTTGCTCTTCCTGCTGCTGCTGAAATTCATCCACCTCCTTTTCCCTCTCTTCTGCAGAATTCCCACAACAGTAGTAAATATACAAACACATACATTGTACAACACAATCATGTACACATATACAACGACATGAATTGAATACCTTCTCTTCATCTTCTTGTTCATGGTCTTCCCTCCTTTTGCTTGTTCTCTTGTTAGCATCCTGAGATTCAGCAGTAGTAGCAGTAGTTGTAGCAGTGCAGGAATTGGTGATCTTCTTGGTGGGAGAACCGAAAGCCTTTCTGACAGCAGTGAACCAGGAAGGGCTTCTTCCTCCAGTCTTCCCCATCGCCTTAATACATAACAGAAGAGTACTGCTGCCACTGCTTGCTATTTAATACATACAGAAGGCAGGGGAGCGTATTTGCCAGCGATGCAAATGATGGAATGAGAAGAGGAGGAAAGTAAGCTAACGAAGCAATGATACTAACTGATAATGTCTCACATTTGCATGAAATGGTGTAAAACTGTAAATGATGCTGCAGGGCTTAATAATGGTGCCATGGAAGTGAGATTTTTGGCTCCTCGAGAATGCAGAAAGCTGCTACAAACAACAATGGAATAAAGGGAGAAGTTCCTTCATGGAATCATGGGTAGAGTTTCATCAATTGGAATGCTTTTGCTTTTTCTCTCTCTCGAGTGTGTGCTTTTCTCTCTGCAACTGTTCTTGCTGTGGAGAACAGTAAAGTGAAAAGCCAAAAAAGCTCCACTCGACCCGATACAACTATTATTGCTTGCAGCTGCCCGCGATAGCTCTGCCTGCCTGCCTGCCTCACGTGTTAAGGAAAGTCGAGGAGAGAATTAGCCATTGTTTGTTGTTGTCGCAGTTAAGTAGGAAAGGTTTGTAATGTTAGCTGCTGCAGTTTCCGTTGGTGGGTGGTGGGCGCTACATTGCATAAGTGAGACAGCTGAGGTCGCCATTAATGGGTTCTGCTGGGTAGTGAAAGATACTGCTGCTGCTGCTGCTGGTTTAGCAGCTTTGTCTCATCTAAATGCTTATATTTCTTCAGACTGGTCAAACTATTCCTCTGCTTTGAGTTGTTGTGTTTGTGCTCCCCCACTTTCCTAAAAGGAAAAGCCTACATCTTTATTTTACCATGGGGTTACTTTCAGTAAAGAAATACTAATGTTACATTGTGTGTTAGACCAATAATTGATTCGTGATACAAATTTGTTCAACTAACATACGTATCAGATTCGGATGGTGAAAGAAGCCAACGTACTGCGCTTCGGTATCGATTTGACGAAATTCGTAACATAATGTTGTTTGTTCATCGATATCGTTATAATATAGGACTTGTGTCGTAGGATTATTCTCCATTTGTTAGCTATGTTTGCTTAATTGGTAATTTGGTACAGGAAGAGCATTGGATCCTCTGACAGTTTGAAGTTTCTGCCTCTTTTATGGGAAAGGAATGACAGAATAATGACACAGTCTGCATACTTACCACTACCAGGAACTTGTACTAAAGTGTCTACTCTACTCATTGGACAGGTCAATTTCCCACTAACCGGGCCAGGAATATGGGCCTGTCTGACGGGGAAAGTCTTTGTCACAGAACCTTTAGCGGGGCTGGGCCTAGCCCATTCGAAAGAAAGGAAGAGTGGGCTACGTACGTAACTAGACCTTGCATGTCGACGGCTGCATGCACAAGCTTCCAGAGAGCATAATATATAGTCCAGCAGAATCCCTTCAACCAAACCAAGTCAGTGATAAATCGTCCAAAACGGAAAAGCCTGTGTCCTGTTTCATCGACGGCCAAATCCAATGAAAACTAAGAGAAGCTGTTACTGCAAATTCTGTAACTAATTAAGAATGAGGAATTCCGTTCTGTCCACACTCTTAATGTTGTGTATATATATATATATATAAATAAGCAGCTACCTACACATAAAATACATTACCCAACTTTCAAGAAAACTAAGGATATTTATAGCCATGGCGACGACGATCACGCCCAGCAGTACAACTAAGTTGACCATCTTGCTTCCCTTCATATTATGGGCCATCCTAATTCCATGTAACGTATCTTCTCTGATCTCAATAACTCGAGTTGTTGGGAGAGATTCAATTATGGATCATATAACCAGTTTAGTAACACGCTTTTTCTCTTCGTTCTTTCTTCATTCGCACTTTATACGTATAGTATTCATGACTCGCCTGGTTCTATATATGCAGGCCTTCTGCCTTCGATCGAATCGACTAGAACGATCGCTCCTCGATGGGGGGACGACATTGGTGCTGCTGCAACACTGCTGGCTCCCAACAATGCTACTACTAGTAGTAGTGGTGCTTCGGTTGAGACGAATTGTAACGATTTCTGCAACGACGCACGGTGCCTTCGTTACTACCCTAAAATGTGTGCTATGTATTCCTATGTGGGTTGCGACTGTCAACAGAATGCGTGCATATGCTTTCCCGTTTGATCCATGGTTTTTAATTACTTGAACAAGACAAGACAAGAGAAGAGGCGCCTTTTCAGTTCTAGGGATTGAAGAAATGTACTGTAAAAGAAGGCTTTGACGTGAGATGGCTGCTGACTTTTGAACATGAGATGTGAGAGGAGCGAACTAGGTTTAGTAAGAAAATAATTTGTTGCAAGTGAAATCCCTGCAATTACCATCTTTTTGCAATTAATAATACGTGTGTGACGATGAGATAAAGCAATTCTATTCAGAGTTTAAAGTGGCATGTTTAAATTTATGTTTAGGCCCGTCTAAATGATGGGCAATACTAATTTATTCTCCTCGAAATATATAATTTTGTAGTTCATAATGAACTCATTCTTTTAATGAATTTTTCCCCCCCTAAAATTGAGTTGAAAATGAAGGAAATTAATAAAGGGTGATAGAGATTTGTAGCTGAAAGTGGTTTTAAGTTACAATCAACGGATTTTGATTTCTTCCATGCATAATTTTTCGAAATATGAGTTACAAAGAATGAGATACAAGTCAATTAAAAGCATTGGAGGAACTTAAGAACTAATCTCATCCATCATATCTATTATATAAAAAAAAAATTCGCATCCATCAGATCGATCAGTCATCATCGCTCATAATTAATTAAGTGACCACTTCTGATTATGCACAAATACATAAAGAGATATGACTATGACAAATGCATATACCATGTGATTTTGTATTCTCTAATCCCTCCGCACATTAGATTATGGTTTCACCATTTATCCAATTGACATAATACTTTATCTAACTTGACAATATCATTGTTGGAAAGACAAAATCCATTATGTCATATGACGTGCATCATCATCCTATAACTATTGCATAAGATAAATTAGACATATTAGAAAGATGGAGACAATATGTTTTAAATCTATAGTTTGACTTTCAAGTTTAATTTTGATATAATGTCTAAAATATTTTGACATAATAACTTAAAGGCGTGATAGGCAGGGGTGGATTCATGGACTTTTACAAGTGTTATCCTAAACACTTCTAAAATTTATGAGAAAATTGATCGAGATAGTAATTTTGGGTTTACGAAAAGGAAAATAGTTTCTGTAATTTTGGGCCTTCTGCCTTCAAGCAAATCGATGATGACGATTGCTTCGCGATAGGGGGGGGGGGGGGGGGGGACAACGATGCTCCAATACTGGCTCCCAACTTTTCTGGCAGCAGTCCCGGTCAGATCAATGTCAGGTATGTATATCTCGTCGAAACTCCCATATTATTCAGCAATACCACCTTAATTATCAATCTTAGTGTTGCGTTAATTCAGCAGATCGGGCTGCATGCACACAATGTAGTAAAAAATCGCGTTTTAAAAGCACTTCTAGGTTACCGAAATGATTTTTCGTATATTAACTTATAATTGTAGGCAAAATCTACGCTTAGTAACTTAGATTTGACGGGGGAAAACAGCACGGCTTGGTCCGATTTTAAAACGAAAAACCCGAAAAAACCGGGCATAGTGTTATAAGCCCACTCCCCAATTCCCCAGCCCACTACTGAAATCCATTCAAAAGGCCACACAACTTGGCCCACAAACTTCTCCATAGCAAGGAGACGTGTTGGGCTCTGTCTGTTCGAACGGGAATAAAATTGGAGGCCGTAAAAATTGAAAGAAAACACCGAGGGAAAGGCTGCATGGGCCGGCTGCTCCCAAGTGGCGGAGTTACGTGTTGTTATCCAACGAAGCATTACTCCAAAAACCAACGAAACAAGACAACCAATAATTCCAATTAATCCAAATAACCGCATCGATCAATTGCACAAACCAGCAAGATAATCCAATTAGTACTCTTGATCAGTACTCTTAATTAATCTTTGTATATAATCATCTACCTAATAACACTACCAGTGATCGATCAACATCGTCCACACGTGCAATATTATCCACCTTTCAAGAATATATTGATACACATGGCGATCATGCCCTTCATACTACTATGGGTCATCCTAATTCCATGTACTACTCTACTTCTTCTGCCTTCAAGCGAATCGACGAGAACGATCCCTCCACCGCGATGGGGGGAGAGCGGATACGATGCTCCACAGACGATGGCTCCTCGTCGTCGTCGCGACGATTCTACTAGCAGTACGTATGATGATCATAAGTTTAATGTCAGGTATGTATCTCGTCGATCGTCGTCCAAACTCTCTTTCCATGCACCATCTTCTTCGGACCAAAGATCGAATGTAATAATATTATTGTTGTACCCAGGAATAATGCTTCGGTTGAGGGATATTGTAATGATTGTTGCAACGACAAACGGTGCTACGAGTATTACCCTAATAAGTGTTACGCCGAGTTTTTCCACGTGGGTTGCGACTGTACACAGAATGCGTGCCTATGCTTTCCCACCAATTTTTAACGATTCTATGTGGGTTACTGAAATAATAGTTGCTGCTACAAGTGAAATCTATTTACCAGATTTCAATGAACAACAATATGTGGGTGATGAAATAAAAATATGTATGTACTTTTTCATTGGGTTAGCAAAAAGGTAGGTTCTAATACCGAAAGGCAAGGAATAAATAATATTTGAGAGAAGGATTTTGTTTTTGGTACATTCAATTTGATGTTTTTACTCCACATGCTTAGCTTTATTATGGTTGTCATTTTATTTATTTATCATAAGCTGATTCGTGTTGAACATTATCATAATCTTGAGTTGTACGTAGTACTCTGAAGAAAGAAACGTATAAAATTGGGCAGAATCATTTAGGATTTCTATTTTTGTATGTTGAGTATTTCCGAAAGTTTCTTTTTTAACATGATACTCCGTAAGTCCATTTAATGGCCATATTAGAGGACATAAAAAGGGACAGTGATTTTGCGAATGCTAACATGCAGCAGCATACGTAGCTTTCGTCCGCTTCTCACAAAGATTTTTGAGAGCTTTGCCGAGAGTCTATATTTTTTATACAAGTATTTGCTACTTCGGGTCTTTTAACTGATATGCACCTATCCGACATCTTAGTCCATGCCCTTCAATCCCAATG